CACTGTGGGATATGGAGACCGGTCCTTCGGATGAGACCGTATAAACCGAGGTCCTGTGTCGCAGTAGGTGCTGGCAGGAAAAAGATCCCTCACTGCTCAATGGCCGTAAGTACCGAGTATAGGACAAAATTTGCAGCTCTCCACTGGCAAGTGGTGGCGTCTCCATATGAGTGAAAAATTCTCGAAAGGGACATTAAACAACATAAAAACAAACAAACAAACTCCTCGACTCTAAAGCAAATGCTCTAACCATTGCACCATGCAGGTGACTTTGATCTCCATGCCTCAGAGGAAATGACTTGATAGCCTCTTACAGGAGTAATTGTCACTGACTATATGCACTACCTATGTAGTCACATAAACCAAATACTGCTGCTCTTTGAGACAAAGTTTATAAGTCTTATATAATGCACTTAATTCCAAAGAATTTCAAACATCCCATTCATTCAAAGAGTAAAAAATAATCAATACCTCAGGAAGTTTCGACAATTCTTAGATTTGAAAAATATTTGCTCAAATTGAATTAAATTTCATATTTTATTCTGTTTATGTCAAACATGATGTTCTATTTATTAACAATTGATTTCTCTCCTTGGTAAAATGATTTTTTACTGTTTATTTAACGTCCCTTCGAGAAATTTTTACTCATGTTAAGAAGCCACCACTTCCCTGTGGAGGGCTGCAAAATTAGACCTGAACTCAGCACTTATGGCCATTTATATTAGCAGTAAGGGATATTTTGTGCAAACACCTACTGCAACAAAGAACCTGCTTTATACGGTTTCATCCAAAGGATCGGTTTTCAGGTCCCACAATGGGATTAAAACCCTTGAAGTAAGGATCAACTCCTTACTTTGCAACTCTGGAGCAGAAGCTCTATACTCGATGCCACGTGGCGACTGGTAAATTGATAAACATGCACTAAATATGTTGACTCTAAAACAGGCCTCTATGTGACCTCTAAAATTTAGGCACCAACTGGCTCCTTATGAAAAAAAAAATTTAGTCAGCAATGCAAATTTTTAGCCGCCAGGTAAATTTTTCTTAGGCACCAATCTAAAAACTGATATTAGTCAATATTAGAGACATGTCCATTGCTTCTTTTCGGCTCTTTCTAAAAAAAAAAAAAAATGAAAATGTTTATAGTTCAGTAATTTGATGATCACCAAGCCAATTTAAAATGGTCGCCAATTTGGCGAATTCTAGAAAAATTTTAGGCACCAATCATAATTTTTAGGTGCTATGGCGACTTAATTAGTCGCCAATTAGACCTATACCATATATCGCATACCCTGTAATTGTTTTCACTATCTGCACATTTTTGATTTTTTTGCCTTTACAAATCAACTTGGTTATAAAGATACATGACTGTATAATTTTTGTAAAACAGCTGGATTTTTAAGTTAAATTTCTTTTGGTTTAAAGCTAAGAAAACTTAGATATTATAGCTAAAGGACTGGTTATTAAGGGACAAGCTTAAGTATTTCTGACACATTTATTCTATCCTCTTTAAAATTAACATGGGGCTATAGATACAGGTTGGTCATGTGATCAAATCCCATGGAATCCAAAGGGCTTTATGGTAGGTAACAACATATGACTATAGTCCCATAGATGATAAAATATACTTTTTCATGTTAAATTTTGCCCATATATGAAGCATTAGAGTATTATAAATTGTGTATAAAACATTAATGTTTTTACTTTGAATTTCAAATGTCAAGCGTCACCTGTGTGGCACAGTGGTTAGACCATTTGCTCTAGAGTCGCGGAGTAAGGAGTTGATCCTTACGTCGTGGGTTCGAATCACATTGTAGGACATGGAGACCGGTCCTTCGGATGAGACCATATATATCGAGGTCCAGTGTCGCAGTAGGTGCTGGCACGAAAAAGATCCCTCACTGCTCAATGGCCCTGAGTACCGAGTACAAGTCAAAATTTGCAGCTCTCCACTGGCAAGTGGTAGCATTTCCATATGAGTGAAAAATTCTCGAGAGGGACGTTAAACAACAACAACAACAACAACAAAAATCAAATGTCAAGCTAGAATAAGGAACTACAGCATTGAACTATTGACCCTTTTTAGTCATTCATAGTTATAAATGAGTCTCCTTGAATCCTAAAATTTCTCAGGAGAAAGCACTGCAATTTTAAATAAGTGTTTATTTTCTAGAAACTTTTGTTTGTGCAGGTGTATCAGATGCATTCCAAAAGTGTTCAGTCACTGAAAATTTAAATACAGTTGAACTTTGGTATCTCAAGCACTGATAACTTGAATACCATGGATATGTCAAAGTTAACTGGAAGTCCGAACCACTTATTTTTTAAGAAATTAACACTCGATATCTTGAATACTCCTATATCTTGAATACTCCTATATATTAGTTTTTTCAGTTCCATCTATTTTAAAATAATGAGGTTTGACTGTGCATGTTTCTTATTTAGCATTTGATGAATTTCATATGAATCACCAACAATTTTTCACATTTTGATGCAAACTTTTATAGTTCTAAACAACCAACCACTCATTAATCAATTACTACATATAATTTAAATAAAATAAATTAACAATTAGTTAAAAGTTCATAATTATATACATTTTACCCACTCTTTTTATGTATTCAACTACAAGATATTATATACATAATTTAAATAAATTTAAATTGATCAGAAATGTCAAAATGGAAAGTTTGAGAAACCTGGCTTCATTTACTGGACAGTACTGAAATTGTAGAAAAGAAGTTCATTCATTTATCAATTTTATGATTCGTTCTAGGAACAGATCAGAAAATATGTTTCAAAAATAGGTAGTATCTATTAAAATAATTAAAAAAATCAAAGTGAAGGAACACTTTAGCATATGTGCCTGCCTGTTCATCTATTTGCAATCATACTAATAAATATACAAAGCTGATGTATCAAGATAATAAATGCCACTATATAAGTGAAGCATTTCAAGTAAATCTTTTGGTTGTAACCATTATAGCATTTTGTCGTGTTAAACAGAAAAAGTAATCTAACTATGAAGTACATGTAGCTCCCAAGTAGTCCATGTGCAAGTACTTCCAAGTTTCTTTGTAACAACCAGTTTTGTACCCATTTTTGCAGATGAGTAGGGCAGTATACATGGACCATATTCAAAAGCTTTAGAGATATTTATGAAATAATGAAAAAGTTTGGTAAAATAATTATAATTTCATTGCCTCAATTGATATAGTTCATGTTTCTTTGGATTGAAAAATCTTTATATAACCTTCAATAAAAGTCCTTAATTATTTCTTATGTATCTTAAAACATGAGATCTGATTGGTTAGCAAGCCGGGTGTAAATTTCCTTACACCCAGCTAAAGCAGGGGTGGGGTGGGTGGGGTTAAATAATGTGACATCACAATGAATAGTTTCTATATCAAATAAACACCATACAACATGATGTCACGATGTATTGAAGCATGTAGTAAATCAATAGTTTAAAATATTAGCGGAATTGGGTTTACAGAGAAATTATTAGGTTATATAGGAAATAAAGATTTGTTATCCAGGTGTAATCAAGGGTGTACAAAGATTTACCTGTTAGCAAATATAACCTATCACTGGGTCGTATTTTGGCTGACTTGCTTCATACCAATTGTTAGGCCTTTGTTTATATGCTAAATTTGACTATCGAATATTCCATCTACTTAATCAATACATAAGGCTCACAGTGGGTGTGGCCAGTCAACAGAGGATGCTTAATCCTCCTTGGCACGTGATCCCACCTCTGGAATTTCAGGGGGTCTGTGTTTATGCAGTGTTCAAAGATTTGTATTGTTTGTAATTTTTATGAAATAGATCACTGTTCATTATCTTCTCTTTTTCACTCCATATCCATACCCCGCAATCATAACTTTGACCTTTTGACTCCAGAATCAAGAGGAATCATCCTTCCACTGGAGTAGAGACTGATCTAAAAGCCAAATTGAAAACAACTAAATCATAGACACAAATTTAATTTCTGATGTACACGTACCCTAAATTAAATTAGTGATTATTGCATGCCCCAAAATAAATACAGGGACCCAAGACTTTATCTTTAAAATAATTAAAATTTCTTTTAAACAATGTATAAGTACTGCACAACAAATGTAAATCACATAACACATAAATATGCATAGACATTTAACACATACAACAGGGTGACTGGGCTATGTGTATGTTTAAGGTGTGCAATAGAACATCTCCTATGACACGATACAATATTTTACAAGATGGTGTGTATATATCGAATAAATTATGTGATATTTTGTTAGTATATATTATATTACTATATAGGTCTCTGGGTATTGCTAAGAGACCCCTAACATAGAATGAAATGCAAGTTGGGACCCATGCATGTAGTTTTCTCGTTTATTTAATTAGACGCATGCAATTTCTTCACTTTAAGAGCATATTTTATGATTAAACAAATGTCATTTCAAACTCTACCAGATATACTGTAATACAGTGCCCTACACTCAGTATGTGTACAGGGTGATAAAAAATACATTATCAATATTGCTATTTATCATGTTTATTTACCAATAATTTCAAAACTTTTTAATTCTGTATTGCATATTTATGAAAAAATCATGACGATACTATCATCAATTACTTGCAATAGGATTAATCAATAAAATAAATGAATTGTGCATTTCCGTCCTCATCACCATCTTTCTTCAGCATCGACTGATACGAGGTTCGACATGGCAATTATAAATAAATATTTATCTTTTTATTCTGTCTTCAAATGCTGTACAGCTGGTCTGAAAAAATGTGATGGATTACCAGAGGAAATAAGATCTGATTTATTAGAATTAAATGTTCTGTATTTAAAAAAAAACGGGTTGGCAATTTACGAAACAATAGTGGGTCGGGTTATTTAGCCAACCAAAATGGCAGTACAGGCTCCGACCGAGGACTGAGGTCAGTGAGGAAGCTTAGGATGACTAATAAGAATGGTTGCGGCGATTTTTTTGTTGTGGAAGTATTAGAAGAATGTGTAAGAAACATACGGTTAGTCGCCTAAGTTCAAATCTATCAAATTCAAAGTTTTAATAAAAAGATATCTACAATTCTACACTTGGACGATACACTGATACACAGTCATTTAGCTGGTACAATCACTAGTGGGGTTAAAAAATAATTTAATTCATAGTTTAACTTGCTGTAATCCTTGTAACAACAGTAAAGCAGTGGAGATACCAAACACCAAAACCAAATAATATAAAACTCAATTTTTGTTTGCACTGCAATTGACTGGAGTCATCTGGAAGAGGAAGTAGTTGTAGATAGAATTTTATAATCATTAAAATGATTAATGTGCTTCAGACCCGGTTTAAGAGAGGTGTTAGGAGGGCTCGTCTGCAGACGCAGTTAGATTATTTAACTAATTTAAAAGTAGTTCCTGCCCCAAAGCTATTAAAGAGTTTTAAGACCGCGTTACAACATCCTGATGACTACATGTAAATGCACCCTCCTCCATCACATTAAAACCCAAGAGGATTCTTATAAATTTATACTGGTACATAAACAAATTGATTGAAGAAATGCCCATGTAGAAAACGCATGGTTTTTTCTCGTCAATGTGGTAGCATTATACTGGTGGATGAAACTTGACATATTAGTATTGATAGAATACTTCAAATTACAATTACTTGTTTTTAATTTTAACCTAAAATCATTAAAGTCATGACTGTATTTGTGGACCCCTACAGTTTGGGGTATTTCGAATCCTGTGTGTACATGAGAGCAGATGAATAAAATACACATGCTGCACACTTGTTATATTAATTTTACATGTCAGATGTACACTCAATTTTTAGACAGGACCAAACTTTACTAGTCAGTGTCGATCAGACATGCCTTATAAATGTTAAACCCTGTGTCCGAATGCATAAATATTTTTTACTTGTCTGATTCTGAACAGATTTAAAGAAATTTGTTGAACTTAATGAAGGCTAAATTAGCTATAAAAATAACTGACTTATTTAGATTTGTGTTATCATGAAGATAGAAATTTTAATTGCGCTCCTCCTCTCATTAGCAATATTTATCGAGGTATAACTGAGCGTTAAAGATGGAAAATTTATGCTATGCTACAAGTACATATTTTAACTTCAGTATCTTGAATCGTAGGATATCACAAAGTTTTTTCTAGGACCCATTAGGTTCGATGTTTATATTCTACTCTAAAATGCTTAAAAATGAGTTTTTATACTACTAGTATCATTTACGTTTTTGAAAAACATTTTTTAATAATTTTTTTTATCATGTTCCCTTACAGAAATTTCTGATAAGTGACTTATAAGTGATTTATTCTTTTACTTATAAGTTGTTTATACTGGACTTATACTTCACTGATACATTTAACTTATAAGTGACTGATTAGTGACTCATTAGGATTTTATATGCAAATGAGGTGCTTGACTTATAAGTGACTTATAAGCCAAGTATTAGCCACTTTTGCTTTATGCAAGTATAGTCACTTATAAGTGACTTATAAGTCAAGTATTAGCCCTTTATACTTTATCAAGTATTTGTCACTTATAAGTGAAGTACAGCACTGCCTCTAAGATCTTAATTTAGAACAGAGCTTCAAATCATGCAGGGGTTGCATGATGTTCAAAGTTTTTTTTTACATATATGCATATGCATCTTCACCTAAGATGAAAAAATTAAGTTAACATTTTATGACAAAAAAAATTCCCTCTCATATGACATTCTTTGATGATGCAAACTTTATATATTATTTCAGTTCACAAACAAAAATGTTGGACAAAAAGAAATCAATTAAGATTTAATGACCTTGAGGTTTCTTCAAATTTATGAAATCTGAAAGCAACTGATTCAAAATTTCAGGCAAAGGAAGTTAAAATAAAAAGATGATGTGAATAGAACCTACTTGTTGAACCTGATGTGAAGGCATACTCAAAATAAATTTGAAATCTCCAACAACATCCTTTCACAGAGACTAACTTAGTTTCAAATTCTTGTTGTTTATCTCTTCAGAGACAAAGTTTCTGATTGGTTAGCTTGGATACCCACAATGCAACTCAAGAGAAGTCTGGTATAGTGTAAAAATTCTAAGTCCACACTTATTCTGGCTAATACCATACTGATCTTCACTTATAAGTGAAGTATAAGTGAAATATTCACTGATATTTGGCTAATCTTCACTTATAAGTGAAGTATTAACAAAATCTGTTCCTCACTTATACTTACTTTGACTTATAGAACACTTATAAGTAAATTGCAAAACTTATAGGTGACTTATAAGTGGCTTATAAGTGAAGTATAAAACACTTATAAGTTTCTATTGGTTTTTTCTGTAAGGGTTTTTATCACAAATATAGTTTCACTATATATACCATGAAGAATTCACATCACATCATAAACAGTTAATAACAAATGCTAGAAACAAATACAACAAAACAGAAACAGTTGTAACACCCTCTTGATCATCCTCGTGTGCTTTTATGCTACATATTATAATTGCTTGGGTTCGAGATTTAATGCTGTTGGTTGCTTAGGCATATATAAACAAAAAATGGGGCAGAGTTCCTGGGCCTGACATTGTATGCTCATCCACTTGTCCAGTACATGTACCAGTAAAATTTTTCATGAACAAGTGATAATTACTGATCACTGTCCGATTTGACAAGGGATATTTTTCTAGGCAGAATTTTTTTTAGCTGAGCATGAAAACTTAAAGAATTAAAATTTGTTGTCAACTTTTTATCGGAAGTTCAAAATGAAAACATGCCATGCATGCGGTTTGTAAATAGTTAAATGTTGAATGATCCTGCTCGTAATAATGATGGCCCTGGTTGTCAAACTTGATCAGGAACAATGTTACTATGAAACTTGTCTGAAATATCTGATGTTTTTCAGGCATTTGTCACAATTTTAATTTTAATATTTAAAGTACCAGGAAGTTTACTACTTAGAACTACAGTAACTTTGAAACGTGTACTTTTACTGAAGGAAATTTGGGTTTTTATTATCTGGCAGGAGAGCTTTAGCAAAAGACAATTTAGGCTACAAAGGATAAGCAAAAGAAGGCAAAGAAAAATTTGAAGTCATATAGTCAGCTATTTCTTGTTGTTACTATTTTTCTTTCATACATGTAATTATATAACATGATTTACATCTACTTTAGGATAGGATGATACAGTTTAGTAATTTGCAATAGATGTGTCCACTCAAAATCTCAAAAACAGACTCAATGAATGTATTTATAGACTATTGTAATGTACAATATTTTTTCAAATTGTTAAATAGGTCTTTTATGAAATATTTTTATACAAGTAAAAGTTATGTTCAGACAAGTAAATTTCACAATCACTTACTTCGAGGGTAACATGCCAGAATATTTTCCCCAATTGTGTCACCCAATGTCGAATGCATATCTTGTCATTTAATTATTCAGTTTTATTTATTTTGATATATCCAAAAACATTATTGCTTATGTAATTGCTAGTCATGAGTACCCCCTGGAGATAAGCCTATTATGGCAATAGATGGGACTGAAAAAAAAAAAACCTTTGAGAAACAGATAATTGAGGTTTCAAGAATAGCGGGTAAAGTTCATAAACTCACTGAACTTGAGCACTTAGACATATCCATGGTATTTGAGAAAGAGTTTTAAAATACATAAGTAAAACTGTCATTAACAATAAATTTTATTTCTCCATTTTTTATTTTAGCACACCTGAGCCAAAGGCTTAAGAGAGATTTTCTGATCAAAATTTGTCTGTTGTCTGTCACTGTTGTTGTTGGAGGCGGCGACATAAACTTTTCACATTTTCATCTTTTTCTCCGGAACAACTTTGCCAATATTAACCAAACTTGCCACAGAGCATCCTTGGGTAAAGGAAATTCAAGTTTTTTTCATATGAAGGGCTACACCCTCTTCCAAGGGGAAATAATTAAGAATTGTTGTAAATTTAATGGCATCTTTAAAACCATTTCTTCTCAAGAATCAGTAGACCAGAAAATGAAAATTCTCTGAAAGCTTCATTACCTAGTGTACATTCAGGTTTGTTTAAATCATGACCCCCCCCCCCCCCAGGGCAGGGTGGGGCCACAATGGACAATCAAATTTTTACATATGAATAAATACACATCATCATGTGTAGTAAAAAAAAAAGTAGAACAGCAAGGCCATAGTGACTCGGGTGAGCATTGTTGCCCATGGCCACTTGTTCTTTTTACAGGCATTTTTTACTTTGACAAATTGCACTTTAATAATATAATTATAAGCTTAAATTGGATAATATTTTATTAACCATAACATTGTTAATCAAACTTTGGTGAAACTGAAATTAACTTGTCAAATGACTAGAAATTTCTTACTGAATCTAGATATGGATATACAGTTCTACAACATTTAAAATTTTACTGTGGCTCAGCACACATAAACAAAAATTTTTGGAGATCAATAACATTTTGTCGAAATCAAAGACAAAACCAAATGCTTGGGTATTTATTTACAAAGTTTGATTTGTTAATTTTTTATCATATGAATAATTTGATTGCGCCCATGACAAAAGGGCCATATGGCAATTTTGCTAAAACAGAGAAATAACGTCATAAAGATATGACGTTGCAGACGGTGAGCGTCGACGCAGATTTTTTTTATCCACGTGTTTTACGTTTTGACATGTAAGCTCACTTTTGTCGTTGTTCTCAACATTGAAATAATTATTTATTTTCATTTATATCTTTAATTCAGTTCTTGATCTTCTAGTCCACTGATATTAATTAAAATATTTAGAATTTTATTCGAGACCCGTTTCTTTACTACATGTTATTGTAGCTTTATACGTCTCTGAGACTGATCTGGGCTATGCATTTCCTATACATGTATATCTGAAGCTTCAGTCAAGGTGATTTTCTGGATAATTGAATATGGATGAACGAATGCGATTTTGATATATAGACAAATTGAAGTTATTTGTTAGACACGGGTATATTATCAAAATATTGCAGAGGAAATTGTTTTCCTGTATAAGATCCGCCCCACCATTCTCAACTCATCGATCATGTAAACATTGAAGCATTGGTACATCGTGCATAAATTTTTGTTATAAAATGCTTTAATTGCCAAAAATTTGAAACTGATCACACTTCTTTCAACAGAAAAGAAAAGTATTCTTGTAAGTTTTCACAAATCTAGCGAAAGTACGAACGAATGACAGACGTGATATTATTTTTAAGAACTATAAATAAAAACAAGAGAGGTAACTCCGACAAGCGAGATACTAGAGAGGTACCAGAGAGGGACTTTCTTTTTTTTTTAACACCATTCAAAATCAACATACTCATACAAATTTGCTCTCGTAGTATAAAAAAATATTTTTAAAAATCTTACTTATCATCAGTTAAAAAAACGTTTTAATTGTAAGTATTATATTTATATTTTCTTTAAAAGTATTTTTGAAAGCTTATGGAACTAGCTGCTGTCAAAGTGAAAGAGAAAAAAAATATAGAATAAGAAATAGATGCTACATTGAACCAGACTTTCATTTATTTTTTAAATCTTTTACATTTGCATCTATTTATTTTAACATGAAATTATTTTTTAAAATAACTTGAATTTGAATTTTTTTTTCAGTAATAATGATCATAAATTTAAATAAAATGAAATTAAAAAAAAAAAATTGTATTTTTGTTGTTGCCACTTCCGATGTAAGTACTTGAAAACAAACAAAAATTACCGAATGAAATAAAATTGTTCTAATTGTTCTAGCTTAAAAAAAAGTTTACATGTATGTATACCTGATGTGTGTGTGAAAGAGGGAGAGAGAAAGAGAGAGAGAGATCTCGAGAGAGATGTTACATTAAATCGAGTTTATTAATACAATGTGAAATGTGAAACTTTAATGAAAAGGCGAATTTTCAAAAACACAACAATATGGTATTATGAAAAGAAATCTCTATCTCTTTTTTTTTTTCTTTTGCTGTCTATTTATTTTCAGTAACTCGAAAACATAACATTTTGGTACTCGTGTTGTGCATAAAAAAGTTCGAAGGTTTTAGCTTTATCTGCAGTTTTTAGTCACTTAAAAGTCAAATATATGTAATCCTTGTCATTCATAGAATCTCAGCATTGTATGTCATTACAGTTCTATTATCAATCTAAAACTCGTTTTCTTATTGAAATAATAATCTCAGTTATCTGTTTAGTATGATATTGCTTAACTTGCCGTTGAATTATGTAAACAGGCTGATTTTGTTATTTGGATTTATTGAAATAAATCTTGTTAAGATCAAATTGTATTCAAACATGCATTGTACAAATTAAATTAAATGCTAAAAATATACTGCACAAAAGACTAAGAATATGTTTGCAAGTTTTTATTTTTGTGGCAGTGAAGGAGACCGGGGAAGAGGGCCAGGGTCATTTTATATTACCGGAACCTAACTACTTTACAGTGTATCTGTAAAGCTTTACAAGAATAAGCATATCCAAGTCTCTGGCATGGGGCCAGAATGGAATTTTTATATTGTAAAACTTCATATACAATAACATTTGAAAACAATAACATTAGAATTTCATACGATAATGAAGCCGCGAGAAATGGGGGGGGGGGGGGATTCTACACACACCATCACATAACAATATATACATGTACCTAAATGTGTGCCACATCGTAAAAATTTGTCATTTAAAAACTCAGCCAGTCAGGGAATATTATGAACCAGTCGCATTTAACTGACTGGATATATAAAACTTTCAATTAATTTTTACACCCCCCCCCCCCAACCGAAAAAATTCTATTAATTAATCTGCATGTCATTGATTCATAACGACAACATATATATAATTATTTATGATTTATTTCTTAGAAAAATCTATTTGATATTAATTTTTAAAAAAATGACATTGATTTCATTCAAAGTTCGGATAAAATTTGTTGAAATGACAATAAAATACCCGATATCTGTTAATACCCAGTGTATACATGTTCTTCTAAAACCATTTAATTTTACAGAATCAAACAAAATCGTTATTCTAGGACGCAATTTTTCTCACGATTAACTAGATTTGATAGCAGTTAAGTTTCCAGTTCCAGGAATGTGGAGCTCAAGATAGCTGTTTGTTTTGAAAATGACCCTGCTCATATACATGTACGTAAGGAGAGAGTTCAAGGTGCAAAAATAAATTGAGGAATTATTTCAATATTATTTCAAACCTAACCAAAAGACGTATTTGGAGATTATGGGGTTGGTGGTGGGAAGGCATCCCCCCTGCACATCTAAAATATAGGAAGATTTTAAAAATACGACAACCCTCGTATGCTATTAAGCTCTGTTAACTATAAGTATTGCATGTTTCTGTCATTTAACTTTTAACCCCCCTCCCCCCCCCCCACACACACACACATAATCCAACCACTGGTCATCCTGGATCTGTTCCTTTCATTTTAAATGCATGTGAATTATAATTCATCCATTTGTTTATAATTTATCAACCTGCTTACTTAAAATTAATTATTCAAAAATTTTCCTTGCTGTGACTGAAAAAAATGTGTATCATTTCAATTTAAAAAAGAAGTTTTGTTACCACATGCGGGTAGAAGTCCTTCTGATTTTTTGTTTACAAATTTTTTTTTATCGAATATTGCTTAACATGCAGTGAATCAACTTAATGTCCTTAACTTGTTGTACAGCGTATACGGTAACTCACTACATTTCACAAATTTTCTGTCTTATTTAGAAAACAAAACAAAAACACGACAAATTTTCACTACCCAGCAGCATCTATTTTATTGTTGTTCCCGAGAATTTTTTTGAAATATTTTTTAACTTCACATTTCGAAAGAGATATCGTTTATACTGGATTCAACCCCCCCCCCCCCCCCAAAAAAAAAAAAAAAATTGACATCTAGTCCTATCGAGAGCCATGCTTAAAATGAGATGATTTTCGAATGAATTCTACAGGTTTCTCAAACGATTATTACACGAGATGAATACTTTGGTTTTGAGAGAATAAATTGATATTGAACAGAAGCCGCTTGCTTCTCGGGTTTTCCTGACATTCCAACATAGTGAAATGTAAAACAAACAAACGAACAAACACTCATAATTCTATACACCACTGCATGATGGATAATAGTTAATACAACTATTTATTATCATATTATACAATTATTAAAAGAGACAATGATCAAAAATGTTTCTGGAAATGCTCAATAACATACATTTATTACCGCAGTAACATTACAATGCAAAGTGAAAGTCATGTTCACTCTGAAAACTTTTGACGTTGGTGCGAAAGTAACATGACGTCATTGTTTACCTCTTTTAAAAAGTATCATTGATATAAATGAAGAAAAAACCTACTTAGAGTTGACGTAGGGCCATAAAAATTCAGATATGGCAACTTCTAACCTTGCTCTATTAATATCCATGAAAAACTTAAAATGTGTAAAAATTGCCATAAGGGCCCTTTTCCCATGGGCGCAATCATTTACCCTTTCTTTTCAGTAGACCCTTGTTATGCCATGGTTAGCTTAGAGCCAGGAATAGCAAATCAAAATGAACTTAGTCAGTTATTGTTCTTTGTAGAAAGAGACAATTTCTTTTCAGGTTTTCTTTTTCGGTTTCTCATTTTAGGCCTACAGTATTTATTTTTTACTCAAATATTAGGAATATTATACTTGTGGGCAATCAATGAATTTAAGGAATACTCTTTTTTTAGGTGCTCATGATGCAACTTCCTGGATGGTGTGTAAACTGTTTATCAGCATGTGAAATCCATATGATTGAAGGTATCTTACCTATCAATAATATCAATTTTCTCTATTAAAAGCTGCATAAGGAATTATTTTATTTCTGGTCTCAAATTTTTGTCCAAGCATCATTCATTTTTTCTTCATCTTTTATCTAGTGAGGGTCATATTAATTGATTAATTTAATCAAGGCTTTATAGAAAAATATAGTGAATTATTTTCTTGTGTATGACCTTGAAAGGGGCAGAGACTCAGATTTGAAGTTAATATTTTCTAAAATTTTTGACTAGATCATGACATATGTGTGGCTATAGTATTTCACAGGGAAATATCATAAAAAAAACTTATTTTACCTTGAAATTATTGAAACTACGAATTTAGGGACGCATTTGATTGACACATCCTTGCACTTTCACAAAGTAAAACCTCATCCTTGATACTTAAAAAAAGTAGAAATTTTGTTGTGTTTTAGTGAAAAAAATTAAAGATAAAATCCAGAAAATTCACAGTTGAAATGTGAGAAAGCAAAACCAACTCATCAGTAATGTCAGTCCGTGCTCAGTGATGTGTGCAGAGTTTAACAAATTGAACACACCCAATGGAACGTAAACTGTTTTGTGTTCAATTTGTTAAACTCTTCACACATCACTGAGCACGGACTGACAATACTGGTTAGTTGGTTTTGCCCTTCTCATTTCTACTCTTAATTTTCTGGATTATATTTTTTTTATATTTTTTCATTAATATGTATCAAAAAACCTACTTTTCTTAAGTATTAAGAATGAAGTTTACTTGTGAAAGTGCAAGGATGTGTCAATCAAACGCATCCCGAAATTCATAGTTTCAATAATTTACAGATAAAATAAGTTTTTTATTATATTTCCGTGTGAAATGCTATAGCCGCATATATGTCATGATATAATACAGACAATTTGAGAAAATATTTCAAAATGTCGAATCAGTGTCTATGTCCCTTTAAGAGTAACAGGTAACTTCACTTTTGAAAATAATTTTTCTTATTTTAGGAGAAGTCTTCCTTGTTAAAGATCAGCAACGGCAGATAAACAATGCATGATGCAATCTGCTCACTAAAAAGATTACACCAATACATCCCATGACATGTATTTCTACCTATCACCTATGTAACCTTTGTCATGCTCTTCAGAGAGGTAAGAAAACAAAATAATTATGAAAAACAATTTTGGTAAAAGCGACACTTAGAGATCACTTTACATGGTGTCTGTCTGTCTCTCATACCCTAGATCCTGAGAACTGTAATTGGAATGGATTTGATACTTTGCACTTGCATTGCTTGGCACTTTGGCTTTTGTAAAATACCATATACAGTCAAACTCGTTTACATTGAAATTTAAGGGACCTTGAGATTTATTTCAAATTAACCGAATTTCATTATATCTGTGTGCTATGAATTACATAAAAAATGTAGATACAGTTGAACTTCATTATCTGGAACACTGATATCTTGAATACCATGGATATGTCAAAGTGATTTGCTGTCCCAACCACTTATTCTTTAAGTATTTTACCCTCGATATCTCGAATCCTCAGATATCTCGAAGTTTTTTCTCAGTCCCTTCAAGTTAGAGGTAACGAGGCTTGACTGTACAGTAAAAAAAATATACATGTGAGAATTCATATTTTTTACATAACATTACATGCAGTGTTTCAGAAATGTACTTATCTCTATTTTTCAAAAAAGTCCTGAATTTTTTTTACTGTTTTATTATTTTTTTTTTGATCTGTGTTAGAAAACTATCAAGACTATTTATACACGAAAAAAGTTCGTCCTGAACATTGCCGCATAGATGCAATGATTTGTCAGGTTCGAATCTATAGAACAGCCCTGTCTCATCGGCATTGAAAACATATGCTTCATATACTTCAATTCAAGAAGTTTATTTTCCATTTACTTAATTACAGTGGATTTATTTACTCCGGCACTTTCTCCACTAGTGCTGTGTCAATATATTGATTAATCAATACATATCGATATTCAGGAATTTATCGTATCGACAAACTAACTTCCAATACGTATTGGGCAGACAGTTTTTCTTATAATTCTGTGAAAAAGTTGGGAATTTCAGTCACCAAAGATAATTTTTAACTGTTTTTAATTAAAACTGGTCAATAATAAGATAAACTTTAAGGAGATAACACATCTTAATTAACTATTGCAAAATTCATATACAACTATATTTTAACATATTAGTTTTTCAGTCATTAAAAGTTTGAATTTGAAGTGTTCTTTGTAAAGACAGTGAGACATATGAACTTCCAATTTGGTATTAAAACACCCAGTTTTTATCAAATTTATGCATTAAATGATTTACAAGACCTTTTTGCTAGACTTATTTAAGAATCCAATATATTGCATATTGCTTTATAAAATATCTTATCGAAATATTTTGGTCAATACACAGCCCTATTCTCCACACACCAATGTACACATGACATCCCTGCGTATTTTATCCATGTCGGTCTTAATGCCGTAGTTAGAAAATAAAAATGGCGACTAATATGTTCCGGTGAGAAATGCTCAATGATTATTGTTTTATCTATACAACACATAATTAAATTTGTACAGGTCCACCAACATCAAATCACCTGTGAAAAATTAACACGTGCTAGACTTTATATATAGTCAGTCACCTGAGTCCATGCGTCGCATTCGGCAACTTCAATGTACTCGTTATCAAAACTGCTATAGGCTTTGTGTTCAGAGGACTCCAAAATCACTTCAAATTAACAGAGTTTTTCAAGTTAACCAATTTCAATCTAAACAAGTATTTATTGCAAAGAAACTGTACCAGCATTTTAGGAGAAACATAGTTCATTTCAAACAAACCGATTATTCAAACAAAGAGAGTTCAATGCAAGTGAGTTCGTTACATTACAATTCAGTTGACCTTGACCTTTGATTTTATAAAATCACTCTGGCGGTTGATTGAATTATTTTTTTTTTTTTTCCTTTGATTTTTGATTTTGAGAAGCAGGATTTTGATAATTAGCATTTATATCACATTTTACTGTATATGAGCTCATGACACTGTATTTTGAAATTGTATGCAATATAACCACACAAACTGAAATTTAAATACAATGAAAAGACATCAGGATGGGTATACCAAAAGTATCGTTATAGAGTGAATAGAGACTGAAATCTCTTTTGGAAGATATCTGGGATAAAGATATGCTTATTAAAAATAATTATTTTAATTATTATACCCCCACTCTGAAGGAGAGGGGGGTATACTGTTTTACCCTTATGTGTCTGTCTGTCTGTCTGTCTGTCCGTAACAAATATTTCGTCACAGTTTTCTCAGCAACTACCCATCGCAGATGCTTGAAATTTTAGTACACACTTTATTGAGGTATGCCATATGGTGGGATTCATTTTCGAATGAATCTGATTTCAACTTCCTGTTTATCCGTGCGTCTGTCTGTACCATACATAACAAATTTTGGTTGCAGTTTTCTCAGCAACTACTGATTGCAGATGCTTGAAATTTTAGCACATTCTTTGTTAAGGCATGCCATATGGTGGGATTTATATTTGTACGAATCCGATGTCAACTTCCTGTTTATCCGTGCATCTGTCCATACCATACATAACAAATTTTGGTCGCTGTTTTCTCAGCAACTACTGATTGCAGATGCTTGAAATTTTAGCACACTCTTTGTTTATGCATGTCATATGTTGGGATTCATTTTTGTACAAATCTGATGTCAACTTCTTGTTCATCCTTGTGTCTGTCCATAACTGAACTTGTGTATATTCACATCAGAATGTATATTCTCATCAAAGCAGGGGTATTACTAGTGAACATTGGCTCACAGACTTCTTGTTAATTTCAATTTTATAATTCACTTTAGCTTTGAAGGGTGGAGAATCATATATCTATTGTCAGATTTTATATGATAAATGCTATTCTGTATGGGTCTTACTATTTGTGGATTTTTTTTTTCTTTGCTATATAAGGGCTATTTTGAAATTAATGAGACATTTACTTTTACTCCATAAAAGAAAGACATAAATTCATGAAAATTTGTCAACATTTTAACAAGAACAAATAAAACAGCTATGCAAAATTTCTAATTGATAGAGTAATTAGACATGTCCCATTGGAATTATAAACTTGCATATGTCTATTGACCTAAAGCATCATTGCTTCTTCATTTTCATCTCATGCCAGCCATAGATCTTTACCATGTTGAGACAGTCTGGAAGCTTTAATGCTTCTTTCTCTGTCATCACAGAAACTACTCAACTGATTGAGATGAAACCTTTTTAGGGTTAACAGGCATGTTGTGTAGATGTGCAGAAGGAAGGTCATTTTACCCACACTTACAAGCACATGTGTGCGCGTGCAAGGAGTGAAATGACTGAAGCAATTGAAACACCATTAACCTTCCTGTTTTTTTTATGATATGCTTTGAACTTCATTGTATAAACTTATATTAGTGGTGTAAGAGGTAGGAGAGGTGGTTGAATTAGCAAGAAAGCATGTGCATGCATGTGTGCTTTGCTCTGTTTGACTGACACAAAAAATCTCAATAACCTTTTTTTTTTTTTGATGAAATGCTTTGAAATTTAAAACATAGTCACACACAAAAAGGCTCTACATTTTGATATAATATATGAGATATTGTGAAAACACGCTCATGCAAGTGTGCTGCAATTTGATTGGCTTAAACTTTAAATGGCTGTTACAGTAGTAACTTTCTTAGTTTATAACAAAACTGGATGGAATTTACAATATAGATAGGTGTAATGGGTTCCTACATTGTGCTACTATGAAAATTGAATGCAAGAACGTGGATTCTGATTTGCTAATACTTATATGGCTGTATCTCTCATAGTTTTCAATGAAAATCTTTAGATTTCTTACATAGCTATTTATTGTGAGTCTCTTCAGGAGGAAGGAATATGAAATATTTAGAAAATATGGGCATGTGCATGCGCTAGAGGTGTAACGATACAGCAATACATCGATCGTATTGATCGCAAGGGCTGACGATAAGCGTATCACCATGTATGTATTGTGATACAGTAGAAGATAATTTTCATTGTTTTGTTTGTAACTTCTACATTCAACCTAACAAATTTTAATGTTTTAAAATGGTTGAAAAAAGGTAGCAAAGAAAAAATACAATATCAAGACTATAAATCCACCTTTTATTAACTTTGACAAGGGTTATCAAGATATTCTTTGTATATTTTCTATAACTGTGGAGTTAGCAAAGAATTATATGTTAAGATAAAGCTTAATTCAATTGGTGACAGCTGTATCATGGTACATGTTGTATATCACATGACCGTATCATGATATGTACCGGTATCATATTGTTAGGTAGTTTGCGATACTCAGGCCTAGCATGCGCTGAAATCCAATTGGCTAATACTCGAAGAACTATACCAGTGTTGTTTTTCGAATAAATACCACTGAAAATAAAGTATAGATTTATTAAACAAAAGAATTGCATAATTAAAGGAAGCCTGTAGTGAATGGGGCCCATAAGAGAATGGGGAAGTGTTTGGGGAACATCTGAAACAGTTCTCATTACAGTTAGCACTAGTTGTTATTGTTTTAGCAGATCTTTTAGTCTGGAAAAGAGTTCTCCACAGAGCTACGTAAAATTCTATAGGCATGCTTGCTGTGTCGCGTTGACGTCAAAATCTATTTTATTGATGTAATGAGATATCTATACCTAGCTTAGATTTTTTTATGATCTCCGTATTTTTGATTGAAATTCTAAGAAGCTTGCACAAAATGAATTGAAATGAAATTGAAAAAATAAATACCGATATATAATTTGAATTATTTTCGCTCTGGCTGTATATGGGTCCACGGGGAGTTTGAACATAGGTATAACATATTTCAATATATGATTTCGTGACGGCACCGGGTACCCCTTCTATTTACCCATCAATATACCATTGAAAAGAAGAAATAAAATATTTGTAAAATATTTGTTGCTTTTATTAATTCTTAGTGTTTGTCAAACATATATGCCATTTTCACCAAAAGGCATTACTTGGAAAGAAAAATAAACACTATGTACTAATAATCTCTTAACAGCCCTCATAATGCTTGTATCAAATAATATTTGACCACCCTTAGATTTTCTTTTAATCTTAAATAATGATGCTGTTCATCAGGCGACACGTGTTCCTTGGAACACTCTTTTAATTTTAGCTATTAAGATTATTTGGACTTAAAAGTCAAGTTAATAATCTTCTAACAAACATTTTCTTCTGTCATGTTTAATTCATAGTCACTAGGCAACACTGAAATTTCCACTCATTGCTTTTCAGTCATCAACAGGAAAAGGAATTACCGGTAAGTTGACAGGACTTTCCACACTGTTTCTGGTAGCAGCTTATGATTGAATTGATGGTAGAAGACATGGCCCACTTAATCAAAGGTAAATCTCATGGAATAGTGCTAATAGTACTGATATTTTTTTACTCTGTTTTGCATTGAAGCTTTAGGTCAAAGGCAAATTTCCTTTGTGTGGATTCTTTTATTCTTCTCAGAAATGTGTGGCTGCTAATTGAGCCATAGCTGTCTGTTTTCTTTGAGAATCAAAGAATTGCAGCAAGTCTTTTAGGTTTTCAATGAAATTTCCTTGTTTTTCAGATAATCTATATAGAGTGGCACCTTAACTACCACTGGTGAAATAGAAGATGACTAGTGGATGGTCATCACTTTGCAGCTCACTTTCACTTTCTGCAGCCCATCTCTTCTCATCCACAATCATTGTCTTTGGAGGAATGGTGACAGTGCAGTCCTCATGGCTGGGCAGGTAACTTCCTTTCCTTTATTTCTCAGCTTTCACCTTTCTTACAAAATTTATTTCCATAGAACACTGCTACAATTTTCTTCCTCTAAGAACACAGTATATGTCACTTGGGTAGCAGCTTAGAATTGGGTCTTCCCAATGGCACTGAAGGTGGCATTTTTGTATTGAGCATCTCCTTCCACTCTGATACGTGTATCAGGAGTTCCCCATTTTTCATTTAGATCCTGAATGTTCTGTCTTATATTCATCATGCTGGTCTTCTACCCCCACAACAAAGGTTGGGGGAATATATAAGAATCACCTTGTCAGTCTATCGGTGCCAACTTGTTGGTCATTGGAAGCTCAAACTTGGTACGAAGAATGTTTATGACCTGTTGGTGTGTCATGATCTTGACCCAAGGTCATTCCGGCTAGTTCAACAGGGTTTGACACTAAGGCATGTTTGACCCAGTCTAGTAAATGAGTGGTCCAGTCGTGTAAAAGACCAGTTGGTCGTATTGATAAAATAACTGTTGAACCCCCATTTCAGTCCTTCAAATAAATAATCTAAAAACTTTTAAAGAAAGGACAAGGTATGGTAATGCCCGAATCTGGCCCCTTGTTTGATGTAAAAATCAGAACACAGTTAAAATTGTGATAGTTTGTAGGTAAGAATTAAAAATAATGCTTGTTTTAAAACCAGCACTAATTTTGATTCAAAGCTTACACGGAGGCCACAAGAGGGTGTAGAAGTAGGTTATTTTCCAGAATTTCCTCAATTCTGGTTGCATTTCGTCAAATTTGCAGGGGTTGAAATATATGGTAGCCCGATGCCCGGGGCTAGTCAATTTAAGACTCGGGCTAGCTAATTCAGATGTAATGATAGTCCATCGGACTAGCAGAATGGGGAAAAAATCTCAACAGTTTACTTTCACTTTTCTATGTCGAGTGGTTTCATTAGACTGAGAACTACATTGTAGTTTAATTTGTTTCTGTCACCACAGCCTTTAAAACTTTTACATGTACTTGTTATGTTTTCATTTCGCATGAAAAAGTTGTTGGGCTAGTTAGTTCGAGGTTTGGGCTAGTAATTTTTTACTGGTCAATAGCCCCTGGGCTAGTGGGTTTTCCAGGAAAATTTAAACCCCTGATTTGAGATACTTTTCACTTTGGGAAATATAGAGCACAAGGTTGCCTATCTGAGATTTTTATACGTAAGATGCATGTGATACTATTGTATGAAATATATAAATTTGGTAGATAGGCAAGCTTGTGCTCTATGTTTTCTGAACCAAAATGTGCTGTAAAACCAATGAAAATTTGCATAAAATGAGAAAATTCCGAAACTGACATTTTTCCTGACCTTCCTGTGGCCTCTGTGTATCCCATAACTTAGAAACAATACTCAATTTATGGCAGGGGTGACAACAGGTTTTTAACTGAAAAACTGTTGCAACATTCTAAAAGACACCCCAAACCAGGGGCCAAAAAGGGATCTTAGCCTATCTTATCCTTTCTTATATGTTATATTGTAAACAGTCATTGCTCTGTAAAGAAAAAATCCCCACATGACCCAATCACTATTTTTAGCCACAGCTGTTATTAACAAGTCGAGGGCAAAACTACTTTTGTTCAGTACAATGTTTCAATATGATGTAAATAGTTATGTTTAGTATAGTTTTAAACTAATTTATTAATATTAATGATAATTATTTTATGAAAGTTTGTTGAATCTTTAAGGCTTATATTGCTCAAATGTCCTGATGAACCCAACTTGATTGGCGGGATCCCATCAAACAGTCTGTCAAAATTCAAGGTCACTGACAGAAATGATATAAACTTCTTGTCCAGGATATCAGTTTGCAATGGAGAATCATTGAAGCTCATTCTTGGTACAAAGATTATTGAAGACCTGAGAGTGTGTCATGACCTTGGCCCATGGCAATTCTGGCAAGTTCAAGGTCACTGGCTTAAAAGGTATAAAACACTTGTGTAGGCTGTAACTTTGTAATGTAGAATCATTGGAAGCTCTTACTTGCTACAAAGATTGTTTATGACCTGGAAGTTTGTCTTGACCTTGACCAAGGTCATTCTGGCAAGTTCAAGGTCACTGGCAGATAAGAGATAACATTCTTGTCCAGTCAATAACTTTGTAACTGAGCTTTGATTTGCTACAAAAATTTTTTTCTGACCTGAGGGTCATTGTGACAAGTTCAAGGTCTCTGGCAGAAAAAATGTAAGTCTATTATTTTGTATTAATGGAGAAAAATTGGATGTCCATATTTCACTCTTAGATTAATCATGTCCAAAGATCTGTCCTTTTTTTACCAAAGTCAATTTGGTAAGTTCAAGGTCACATTTACACATTCTAAATAAAAGAATTGCAGCAGGGTTATAACCTTATTATTTTGTTAGCTCGCTCACAGCACCTTTAGCTGACATAAGTGATGTAATAATTTTTCTCACTTTGTTTCAGGTCTACTGCATGTTGACAGCTGATACTTGTTCTTTATTTACTCCAAGAGGCCTACTACACATTGTACCTCAGTTATGACTGTACTCGTGCTGGCTTCTATGATGTTAATTTCCTTTACCTGCACTGCGTTAAACTTGGTCAATTCTGTTACTGTCGAACACCAACAGATGAAAATAAGATTAAGCTGATCCTGCCAACATTGTGACATAAGCGGTCCAATGTCCAATATCTCACTCTGCAGTCAAACATCATTTTTTTTTTTTTATGTACGCTCAGTAAAACATTGGAAATGTAAGACTTTTTTAGTATTGATTTATATAGTTACATATTTTTAAAGTAATAACAATTCTTTTAATTATGCCCCCGGATCGAAAGATCCAGGGGGTATATTGTTTTTGTCCTGTTTGTCTGTTTGTCTGTCTGTCTATTGTCAACTTTAACCTTATCCATAACTTTTGATTGGTTGGAGCTTTGACTTTCATATTTCACAAGTGTATTTCTTGTGACAAGACCTTTCTTTGGGTACCATCATATTTGACCTTTTGACCTTGACCTTGGAGTTTGACCCACTTTTGCAAAATTTTATGAGACTTTAACCTTGGCCATAACTTCTGAACAGTTGGTGCTTGGGGTTTCAAACTTCACATGTGTATTCTTTGTGACAAGGCCTTTCTTTGGATACCAACAACTTTCACCTTGGCCTTGACCTTGGAGTTTGACCTACTTTTGAAAAACTTTAACCTTGGCCATAACTTTTGAACGGTTAGAGCTAGGGCTTTCATACTTTACATATGTAATCCTTGTGACAATACCTTCCTTTGGATGCCAACCACTTTGACCTTTTGACCTTGACCTAGGAGTTTGACCTACTTTCGAAAAACTTTAACCTTGGCCATAACTTTTGAATGGTTAATGCTAGGGCTTTCATACTTTACATATGTAATCCTTGTGACATCACCTTCCTTTGAATACCAACCACTTTGACCCTTTGACCTTGACATAGGAGTTTGACCTACTTTTGAAAATCTTTAACCTTGGCCATAATTTTTTAATGGTTGGTGCTAGGGCTTTCATACTTCACATATGTAATCCTTGTGACAAGTCCTTCCTTTGGATACCAACCACTTTGACCCTTTGACCTTGAGATAGGAGTTTGACCTACTTTCGAAAAACTTTAACCTTGGCCATATATTTTGAATGGTTGCAGCTAGGGCTTTCATACTTCACATATGTAATCCTTGTGACAAGACCTTCCTTTGGATACCAACAACTTTGACCTTGACCTTAATGTTTTACTGACTTTTAAAAAACTTTAACCTTCGCCATAACTTTTGAACAGTTGCAGCTAGGGCTTTCAAATTTAACATTTTTTATCTTTTGGACTGGATTTTGACTTACATTTGAGAAACTTTAACCTTCGCCATAAGCTGCCATACGGGGGCATCAGTGTTTCACAAACACATCTTGTTATTGATGTATGTTTAAGTATGCAAAAATGAACATTGATGATATTAAAGGTGAGGTATTTATTTGTGATTTCTCTTCTGAATAAAATTTTATATCAATAATTTATGCTCTTGTTTATACAAACTGCAAATGAGGCTTTCTATACATTAGGAACTGGACCCATAATTACTTCCTTAAGGAGGAATGCCACACCAAAATTTAATTCCATGGTCTTAAGACATCCATGTTAAGGAAGCTCTAAACACTAATGAAAAATGCTTTTTGGGCTTTGAGAAAAATATATCATATAAAGGTGCACATATTCAGTGTATCAAGTTCATTTTCAACATAGGGTACCTACCTTATTTCTGCAGAAAAAATGTTCAAAGACAATGAACTATTTGTGAACAGAAATCACTGTTTTTTACTTGCATCAGGAAAATTAATGGAAATAATGTATTCAATTACTTAATCTTGGTCTAACATAACATTAAGAATACTTTAATTCATAAGAAATTGTCATTAACTGTAGATTCCCATTTATACTATTTTTCTTCTAAGGGCAAATCACCCAATAAAACTACCCTACAAATAGAACTCTTTAGTGTGCAGTGTTTAGAGCTTCCTTGAGTCATGGTTTCAGCATTGAAAGGCCTAGCTCTTAATTATTTTATAAGAATTTTCTCCAATTTTTCATAGAAAATGAAAAAAAAAATGTTTTATTTGCAAATAAGATG